CGCCTTGGGCTGGCGGCCCGGCCGCTCCCCGGAAGACGTCGGGCCTCGTCCAGCCTCGACCCTTCCTTCGGCCCCCTCCCCTCCTCTTCTGCCCGAAAGGCGCCCCTAGGGGCGCGCGCTCCGGCCCGGTGGCACCGGCGCAGCCTGGCCGACGCGGGGCTTTCCCGGGCCGGGCCTCAGCAGCCAGCCTCACCCCGGAGGCCAGGAGCAGGGGTGGAGAGGGCCCAGACCCAGACCCCCAGGTCCCCGGCCCCAGACCCCCCAAGTCCCCGGCCCCAGACCCCCCAGGTCCCCGGCCCCAGACCCCCGGCCTCCCCTGGCGTGGCGCCCGCGGCCCCGGGCCTGGGAAAGGGTGCTCAGCGCTGGCGCTCGGCACCCACCTGCTGGTCCCTCCCCCCGCGTGCCTTCTGGAAGTCTTCGTGGATGGGTTCTCGCAGCCTCTTTGTGGTCGGGCTCCCAGGCTCCAGGGGTCTGCCCGCCCTCTCGAGGGGGTCCTCGTCGTTTCTTGCCACGTCATTTGACTTCTTCCAGGTCTTTGGGAAAGGGGGGGATGTCTGTGGCCACTGTGGTGATGGCGATTAGGAGTGGGGTGAGGCCAGGCGGCCAGCCAGTGGAACGTTCTGGGGACGGGGTCTCCTGAGGCCTTCAGTTGCCCGGAAGGCCCCACTTAGATGTCTAAAGTTAGTCATTGTGCGGGGACTGTAGGGCTGAGCCCTCCCAGAACTGCCTACCCCACTCACCCCTGGAAGAGTGGGAGGGCCAGGCAGCCCAGAGCTGGAGCCGTACAACAGACCCTGCTCCCAGAAGATACCTGGCCCCGGGAGGCGGGTACCTCAGGTCAAGACACCTGTGGAAGGGTCCTTTATTGTGTGTAGAGATGAGGGTCCCTCGGAAGATAGGGTGCACGACTGGAGCATTTCTTGTGCCAGTTCTTCTGGTGTAGCATAGAAATTACTAGAAATGAGCCAGGCACTGGTGGCTCACACCTGTAATCATAGCAGTTTAGGAGGCTTAGAGCTGAGGATCACCGTTCAAAGCCAGCCCAAATAAGAAAAGCTGTGAGACTCACAGCAATGTTGTGACTTAAAGTGGTAGAGCACTAGCCTTCAGCAAAAAGAGCTCAGGAACGGTTCCCTGGCTCAGAGTTCAAGCCCCCAGGACCTACAAAAAAAATTACTAGAAAAGATGAAGGGAAAAGCAGGTAGACCTGCAGGCAGGTCTGATCCACACCCCCTCTTCTCTCACCTACATTCACCCACTGGTGCCTAGTGGGGAAAGGCCTGGGTCTGGGCCTGGGTTCCTGGCCTCAGGAGCTGAGGGAAGTTATTGAGAAAAACAAGGGTTTGGAATGTGGGTCCCCCCCTCCCCCGCCGGCGGCCTGCCAGGAAGGAATTATTTTGGATTATCCAGCCGTGTCCAGCCACCCCAGGAGGAGCCGTGGGAGTGGAGGGATCCACTTCCGGCTGTGGGTTGGGAGCCCTGGAAGGGAGGGGCCGACAAGTCTGTGCAGCTCCCAGGACTGCTCAGACCAGTCAGGGGCAGGGTGGAGAAGGCCCCAAGGTTCCCTGCAGGCCCTTACTGCCCCTGGAGTAGGCCTGGCACCTCTGAGGGGAGCATGGTCCAGAGTGATCTGGACCCAGCGGGGGGACCCTTTTCTCCCCCAGAATCTTTGGTAAGAGCCTGTTGAGGCCACTCTGTACATCCAGGTTCAAGGACACACTTTGGATGAGTTGCATTCCGGGTTGGCATGGATACGGGTCAGGCTGATTGGACATATCCCAGAGGTCTCCAAGTTGAACCCTAGGCCACCTTCCAGCCCAGGCCTCGTGTATATGCCCCCTCCATTGGGAGGTGGAATTGGTCAGAACACAGAGATGGGCCCTCTGAGAAGTTGTGTAGG